AAAATTAGAGCGGTTCCGAAGTTAGATTTAATTAACCCGAGAAAATTAGAGCGGTTCCGAAGTTAGATTTAATTAACCCGAGAAAATTAGAGCGGTTCCGAAGTTAGATTTAATTAACCCGAGAAAATTAGAGCGGTTCCGAAGTTAGATTTAATTAACCCGAGAAAATTAGAGCGGTTCCGAAGTTAGATTTAATTAACCCGAGAAAATTAGAGCGGTTCCGAAGTTAGATAGTCTGCCTTACCTCGTCATCCGTGGCGGTAATTCCAAACAAGATAATTATTTGGTTGGCAGCGACTGCTATCAGGATATTAACTATTACTGTAGGAAGTCCTGGCCGTTCGTTCCTAAAGGAAATCCAAAAGACTAAAACTGAACAGGAAACGTTTACATGATATCTGAATCAATCTGTGTCTATCTTTCAGATCTTTCAATCTACTTAATTAAAACCGATCCTTTCCTTAATATATAGCAAATGTCTGTGGATTTTTTTTATCGTTATCAAGATATGAAGCGACTGTTTATTAGTGTGTATAATTAAATCAAAATGTTAGCTTCTGTATCTTACTATGTGTGTGTAGTTGAGATTATAAGCTTTACATAAGACAGGAGAGTGAAACGTTACTTCACATATGACACTAGGGTGAAACGTTACTTCACATATGACACTAGGGTGAAACGTTACTTCACGTATGACACTAGGGTGAAACGTTACTTCACGTATGACACTAGGGTGAAACGTTACTTCACGTATGACACTAGGGTGAAACGTTACTTCACATATGACACTAGGGTGAAACGTTACTCAGTATTTAAAGTACGGCCAATTCATGCAATATAGAACCAATGTGACATGGTATAACAAACCACGTTATTGTGTTCCAATTAAAGGTATCTCCAAGTAAAACTAAAAAAGTAAGTGGCTTATATTTTTATTTTTTTTCGTAAGTGTCTATAAATAGATAAGTTTTTTGTTTTTTTGCTTAAAAAAAACAAAACGGGGAGATTTACAGGAAGAAATTATGGATCCTTTCTTTATTGTTGACTTTTACGACAATCTTCTCTTCATCTTTGATACTATTTGACAACACTACTTTTCCTGTCAGGTCTTTGCTCGTGTGATACGTGTTTTAATGTTACTAGCGAAACTGCCAGCACGAGGCGCGGCGTTTGTTCAGATTTCTTAATGGAACCGGTGTGCGTTTGTTTCATTTGTTAGCATTAAGGCAGTAAGTAACAAAGTATGAGACATCAGATGACTGTAAACGTCATAAAAATCGGAAAATTAGTGAAGTGAAGGGTTTAAGGATTGTTGTGGGATATGTCCAAGAACTCTTGAAAGTTCTATGGTTATCAAAGTCGGAAAGTTGGACAATTTGTCGTTACTGTCATGCAGAGACACAAACCGTTTTACAGTAGAGGATGGTTAATAAAACTTTTTACGTCTATGACGTTTTAGGTTAAGTTATCCGTTTGATACCTATAATATAACTGATGGCAGTTTTACACAACGTCTATTACGCACTTACTATTACTAACATCTCATCAAAACCAGCTGCCTGCATAGATCAGACATAAAACCTAACCTAGTAAAAAACGAAGATAATTTGTTGTATCAGTAAAACCAGGATTATACAATGTCAAATGTTCTTTTTATAATGGTTAGAATGCACTGATTTATCACTTTGATACCAACTTGATTACTGATATTTTCGGCCATAATCCCAATAATATCTCATGAAGTTCGATTATTTTAGGGTATATGGGTTAGTCTTCGATCTATAAACTAGGCTGACAATACAGAATGATTATCATACTAAAATATATGTAAAATAAAAATGAAGAACAATAAAGATAAATAAATTACATACAATAAACATTTAATGAAACTAATATTATAAATCACTAACAAGATACATAAAAACTAGTTGTACTAGATGCATTATCAGTTATTCCCTGTCTGTTGGTTCACTGCAAAAACAGCCATTTCAGGATATAGCAAAATAAATATCCAGTAATTTCGTAAGTAAAGAAAAGTGAGATGTTACAATCGTCGCCACTCCAGCGTAAACATTACACAGAACATTACCATCGTTTCATGTTATTCTAGTACAAAATGAGAAACCCGATAACCAGTGTCCTTCTTCAGGAGAGAACTGGGAATGAATAGCAAGTGTTAGTGTGAAACTTGGTGAGGTAATTTTCAGTTAAATCATCGGTACTTCAAGATGATCAATGTTAGTTTAATTAGGTTAGATCAGAAATAACATAAAATAGACTTCTCTTATGTAGAAATAACTAACATGAATGTCAAGAAAACAGCCAAGTTTTTATCTGCAAAGGAACTGATCAAAGATCGAAACTAGTGGTTCTGAAACATGGTTAGTCTCGGCAAAGCTTGACAGCATTCATAGGGGCAATCCAACTGGCTTCTTTCACTTTTCTACTTGGTTTAGTTTTCAACCCACTTTCATTGTGTTATTGATAGAACGGTTAGACAACAGGATGGTCTTATTTTTACGTTAATAGAATATTATTTTTTCAGTATACTGATGGTTGTATTTTTTATACTGGATTTGGTAGATGTTGTATGTTGTGAAAGGAATCTTTTTATTAATGTTAAAGTGGTGTTGATCTTGTTTCTTGGAGGTAGAGTCGCCTGTTTTCATGAACTTTCAGATTTTATAGGCTTTGCTAAAGGGATGATAATCTAACTGAGTAGGAGCGTAATTAACTTTAGCATAAATCAGGATATCTTTAAGAGTTTTGTCTTTTTAGAAGAAAGAACGGTTGTTTCAGGAAAAAAATATTTTAAATCACTTTTGAATTGAGATTCAACTGACTTTTTTGCTAGAATACGCGAGATCTTGACGAGCTTAAAGCGATAAGCGACAAAGAGATGATTTTGTTTGTAATTCTCTCCTACTGGGTGTTTCAGCACAGTTTCTCATTGTTATGCTTTTTAAATCTGCTCTGAATTCCGGAACATTTTTAATCTCTTTCCTTCGTGGTTTGTTTTAGAGCTTCTGTGTGTTTGCTGAAAAAATTGTTTAATCATAGCACTGCCATTTGATCGCGTGTATTTAATCATAGCACTGACATTTGATCGCGTGTATTTAATCACAGCTTTGAAATTTGATCGCGTGTATTTAATCATAGCACTGACATTTGATCACATGTATTTAATAATATCACTGACATTTGATCACGTGTATTTAATCAGAGCTTTGAAACTTGATCACATGTATTTAATCAGAGCTTTGAAACTTGATCATGTGTACCTAATCACAGCAATATATATATATATTATTTTGAATCTATTTCTATGTTCTCCTTGTTATCAGGGATAACTATGTCTAAACTGAGTTATTGTGGTTACGAATTGTTCACTTGAAGTACTCTCGTTATCAGAAACAGCTACCCCTGAACTGAGTTCCAGTAAATGTGTTCCTTTCACCTGAAGTACACTCGTTAACAAAGATAACTACAACTAAACTGAGTTCTAGTGGGTGTTTTCTTCACTCACTTGAAGTACTCTCGTTATCAGAGATAAATATAGTTAAACCGAGTTCTTATCTCACCTGAAGTAAAACGGAGTTGTGCCAAAAGTAAGGATTACGGCCAGCAAGCACACAACACAGCCTGTCATTACAGCAGGTCCAAGCTTCTGTACTTCAGTCCACGATCCCTGTAGTATATTAAACAACACCTGAACTACTAATCCAACAAAAACCTTGCCTTATGCTACCTTATTCCTACCTTTCTTCATCGTTCATGATTTAGAATTACGTTCACTTGTACGCTAAAACTGATGATTGTTCTTGAGAGTTTTGTAAAGTACGAGGAGTTATCATAAGTAGGAGTTACGAAAAGAAAGTCGATACGCCAAAATATCTCTGACATGAAACTAGTTACAAATTTCCATTATATATATATATATATATATATGAAGCTACAAATTACTATTATATTTATATATATGTGTGTGAAGCTATAAATTACTATTATATATATATATATGTAAAGAAACTGGACAGAGAGACAGACAGCAGCATTTAAAACCAAATGGCAGGACGGGAGATTATTTTTGTTTAATTTAAGACCAAAGTTACATCATAGGCTATTTATGCTATGCCCACTAGGAGTACTGAAAAGCAATTTTCAGCATTATAAGCTTACCTTTGACCCACTTTGGAACAACAAGTGAGAGTCTTCATACCAAAATATAAAGCAATCGCAATGAACGTCGAGTTCAAATCAATACAAAAGAGAAACAAATAAATAAGACCATTTTTAATTTTTTACCGTTGCAATCCGGGTTTTATCCCCTTCTGCTACAGTTTCTGAATTCATAATATTATTACGTTAAATTTTGCTGTACAATCTCGAAACCAGACGTGCATCTCGTCTTCAAGTATGCAGCTAATGACTTGGAAATCTTAATGACTCATGCTCTTTTTTAAAATTGTTTTTGTTTTGGATATTTTCAGTTAATCCACGAACGGTTGGAAAATAAGAATGCCTTTGATTCTTGAATATTAGTTGGTTTTCAAGTCTTAGTTAAGCCTAAATAGTAAAGATTAATGAATCAATAAACAAAATGTTATTATTAATTGTAGTGCATTCCTTCTTTTTCCCTACATACTGTAAAGTGTAAAGAAATACTTACATTTTCCTACAACATAATTCACTCAATGCTTATCCTAAGTATCGTGTACTAAATCAACTCTTTTGTGTTTAGGTAGTCAATTACCAAAAGTTATCTTTGCTGTGTTGTAACAAACGAATCCTGGAAGTCAAAATGGCCCTGCTGATTTTATGTAAATTACTTTTATAAAAAGAGAAAATAGAAAACTGGTACATAATCAGGCTTAACAAATTACATTAGCTTCAACACATTAAAACTTGAAAAATAACAGCTAACGCTTTTTTCTTACTTCTCTGTCTATCTCTCTCTATTTTGAACTCTTAATGAAAGAAATAGAAATCAATGGAGAGTAAGAAACGAAACTCACCACAAAACGGAGTTTCCTGGCAATAACAGCAAGTATCGAACTTTGAGAACATCTGCATGTTATATTTGGACCTTCTTGTTCTCTTATCCAACATGGTCCTGTCAACCACTCGCTAAAATATTGATATGTTGCAGTTTCAGTTACATGAAAATTATAAACTTAAACATAAATTAAAACTAGCTGAGATAGTCATAATGTGAGTTAAAATTACAGACTCAATACTAGCTGATATAGTCACAGGGTGGCATTAAATTACAGACTCAATATTAGTTGAGATAGTCATAATGTGACTTAAACTAACAAACTTTAGACTAGCTAAAATAGTTACAGTGTGACATTAAATTACAGACTACAGACTAGCTGAGATAGTCACAGTGTGACATTAGATTACAAACTCAAGGCTAGCGAAGATAGTCATAGTTAAACAAATTACAGACTAAAGACTAGCTGAGGTAGTCATAGTGTGACATTAAATTACAGAATAAAGACTAGCTGAGATAGTCATAGTGTGACACTAAATTAGAGACTAAAGACTAGCTGAGATAGTCATAGTGTGACACTAAATTAGAGACTAAAGACTAGCTGAGATAGTCATAGTGTGACATAAAATTACAGACTAAAGACTAGCTGAGATAGTCATAGTGTGACACTGAATTACAGACTAAAGACTAGCTGAATAGTCATAGTGTGACATAGAATTACAGGAAACAAAATGTTTGTAAAACAGAGGACTGGGGACAGTATGGGATTCCGAAACTACAGCTCTACCCAATCCACAGCAACATGCTTTCGTCTGCAAAGTTAGTGAACCTCAACTGCACTTTGATGGTCACGGTAAAAACTGTCAGTCCTATCTCGTCTACTAATATGTTACTTTATTCTTGCCATACAGAGACAATGAACCACACCGCTACTTATTTCGGCTTACTTAGGCCTATGTGTGTTATCGATTTCAGAAACGTACCTCTGAAAAAAATCCTAGCAACATCCATGTATGAAAAAATTACTACCTTATCCAAATAGTCCTTGTCATGAAGCTGGGCATATCTCATGGTACGCTAAAAACTTAACAAACAATGATTGGAGGTTCATGAAACTTCACAAGTTTTCAAGAGAAAGATGGAAAAAAAAGGACCTGGAATCACAGCAGTCCCCTTCTTTCACATAACTATTAAATCCCTCGTTGCCTTTGATTTGTGAAAACATGGCATTGTAAATCGATATCCACGTGGAAGGTATGTAGAATGTTTGTCAAGATTTGTGTCATTTCTGTGCTCCACAGAAGTTGATTATAATGGTAATTGCAGTGTTGGTTAATAGTACATAAATATAATAAACATTTTGAAATTTTATAAAGACATGTAGGGATTGACATATACATAACCTAACTAGCTATAGTTATATAGAAAGTTTAACGCTACAAAAAGTATTGAAACAAGAAATTCAGAACTACAAAAACTGAATTAGTTATGCAACGAATTTGTTGACATGTGTTTATTTTTAATACGAAAGTTGTTTAGATTAACTTTGTATTTAAAAATATGCGTAACTTATAGTGTTGGATATGTATTGCGTGTAACGAATTTGCTATATATTTATTTTAATGACAACATTTTTTGGATTGAGTTTACATTTAAAAACGTGCCTAGCTTACAGTGTTAGTTATATACTGCGAAACTCCCGCCAATTCTCCAAGGTTGTAGAATATCCGTGAACGTAAGAATCGACAATATATCCACTTCCGTAACCGGTTAAATATAGTTCAGTATTGTTGTCCGAACTATCGAGAAAAACCTTTCCAGTGCCTATAAAAGTAGCCAAGGCGATGCGCCAAAAAAGAGAGAGTTTAAAAGTTGGCTAGGAACCTGCTATGACCGAATATGCTATAAATCGTGATTTTGCTAACCCTTATCAACCGGATAATTTACGACATTTGACCAAGAAACAGTTATAAATTTCGAACGTCGGTGTATTCTCATCGAACGTTAGTATCTTTCCGAAAGTATTACTGAATTCTCATCGGACATTAGTGGTTTTATTATCTTACTTCGATGGTCCAACAATTCAGTGTCTGACAAAGCTAGCTAGCTTCTCGGCAATTGTACGTACATCGACTTCAAGTTAACTCGCTGGATATAAAGCTGATAGAACTAGAACTCTGAACTAGAAAGAATATTCTACGTTGTTCGTAAGTTAGTGAAATTGTTGTTTATAAAACTTTGTTTGTGGTAATTATTCGTAATAATTGTAGTTGTAACTTGTACTGTTGTATATATATTAAAAGATATTTGTGTGAAAAACGAAAACGGTGTGCGTCAATCTTGTTGGCAAATAGCGTAAATTAACTAAAATATCGGCTTCGAACTATTTCAAATTTGCAATACGTAACAGTTAAAATATTAAAATATTTATCCCCACTTTGACACATTGCCGTAATTAAGTTAAGCTGAGTCAAAGTAGGGATAATTTTTATTTTATTTTATATAACTCAACTTTTGTAGTTTTGACTTTCTTGTTTGATAAGTCTTTGTAGCATTAAAACTTTCTATGTTACTACAGCTAGTTAGGATACATATACGTGTCGATTCCTACTTGATTTTATAAAATATTTTTTTATTATACTTGTCTGTTTCATTTTAATTAGTTATATTTTTGTGCGCCAGCAATACCAAGCGTGTGGCACGTGTAGACCCGATTCGATTTTTTCAGGATCTTTACCAACCTGCCCTCAAATCTAAGTATATGCCCAAAATAGCGCATCGTCCTTTATATATATGAATACTAGTATTCTTTTCTGTACAAGAAAGGAATCATTGGGACCCCAGGCGGAAGAGTTCTGTGAAATAATTAGACCGATAAGTGTCGTCATTTTTCTGTACTCTTATCAGGAAAAGACACCTACTTACTTAGATGAAAATTCGTTCAGACATTTTAAAGGTGGTTTTAAACAGGCGATTTTTATAGCCGCCTTTTTGTTCCATCATGATCCCTACAGTTAAGTACTACCGTACTTAACGATAACCACGATTATGAGTCTGAGCATGATCGACATTTCTTGGAACGTCGGTAATTTTAAATACGTTTAACTTCAGGGTTAACAGTTGATTTCAATTTGACCTTTAAATGATGAAAAACTGTTTTTTACTACATTTCAGCTTTTCATCTTCGACTCGACATTAAATTTATGTCACAGTTTTATCTATATTTGCTAAATTTAATAATCTCGAATAGTTTTCCAACATCTTACCCTTCTATAGTTTTGAGACAAAATATAGCTATGAACTATACAAATTGTCTAAAGTATTAAAATACAAACTTGTGAGATATAATAAGGAATATAACATGTACCTTTATTAGGAGTAACGAGGCTTCTAAATTCTAAACTTAGTAAGAAACTAATTTTGAACACCCGACCTTCTGAGACATATTGAAATATTTTAACACCCAACTTTCTCTTTCACATTAAAACGTTAACGCCAAGCTTTCTTTAAAATTGTTGACAGATACAAATATATGTTTAAATGAACTCGATATGAAACAATGTACTTTTATTCCTTTTAGAGATAAGTTAAAATTTTATGAATGAATAACTTCGAACACTTATTATATTAGGAACAAGACGCACATAACTCATGCATACTTAGTAAACAACTTAATAAAACCTATAATTGGTGGATATTTTTGTTTGTAATTAAATGATTTGTCTGCAGTATGAAACGCTAAACTTGAAGGGTAAAGAGAACTTACTTGGTTAAGTTTGAAATTGAAGAGCATGCTAAGATATATCCTTCTGGAACTCCGGGCTGAGGATAGAAACAACATTATTCTTACCTAAGACACTTAAAAGATATAACAACACTAGAAGACACAACTGTTCAATGAACAATGAGCCTTTGTTGTATAAGTTGCTTATTTTATCATTACAGTCTGGTGTACTGTTAAACCTTTCATTTTAACAATAAATGCTGGCTATATAAATCTTTTTTATTATTATTTTGTTTGACAATGCGCAAAAGTGAGGAAGTCGAAGTTTGGCCACAAATATATATTTTAATATTTACAAAGTTTGAAAAAACTCTCTTAACTGAAGGTTTGTTATTCTCGTCTGTTTATTCCGTTTATATACAAGTGAGGAAGTCGAAGTTTGGCCACAAATATATATTTTAATATTTACAAAGTTTGAAAAACTCTCTTAACTGAAGGTTTGTTAATTCTCGTCTGTTTATTCCGTTTATATACAACGCCATATTGATCAATTATCGATATGATACTGTGCGTTTAGAATGTCATAAAATATATTCCTCTTCCGTTGTTTAAATTTTCAGTT